AAAAAAAAAATGGTTATTTATTTTCTTTGAGATGGGGGAGAGAGAGAGGGAGGGGGGAGGGCAGATAGAGAGGGGGAGACAGAGAATCCCAAGTGGGCTCTACCCTGCCAAACCCACAGTGAGATCAAACCCACAAACCGTGACATCATGGCCTGAGCTGAAATCAAGAGTCAGATGCTTAACCGCCTGAGCCACCCAGGTGCCCCTTGGCTCTGTATTTTTAACCACACCAGAAGTTTTCTGGGTAATTTCAACTGATATCCATTATAAGCCAATTTCATGTACATAGCTAATAATGCTTTTGAATTCATTCTCTTTAAATTATTTTTTAATTATAAAATGAATAGAAGCCCATTAAAGGAAATCTGGAAATAGAGAAAAATAGAAAGAAATCCTATCACCCTAATTCAAGTACTGTTAATGTTTTGGGCATATTTCCCTCCAGTCTTTTTTTTTTTTTTTTTAATCCTCGCAGATTTTTTAATGTTTATTTATTTTTGAGAGAGAAAGAGAGAGAGTGTGTGTGTGAGCAGGGGAGGGGCAGAGAGAGAGGGAGACACAGAATCTGAAGCAGGCTCCAGACTCAAGGCTGTTAGCACAGAGCCTGATGTGGGGCTCAAACTCACGAGCCATGAGATCATGACCTGAGCCTAAGTCGGATGCTTAACCGACCGAGCCACCCAGGTGCCCCAGTTTTTTTTTACACAGTGGAGATTATATGCCCAATTTGAGATCCTGCTCTTTCTTTTTATAAGAAGTATTCTGTTATTACATTCTTAATAAACTTCCTTTTTTTAGCAGCATAATTATTTTCATCCCATTTTTAAAGTCAGAATTTAAACTATTTTAGACACCACAATTAGAAATCACACAGATTTAACACCAATGAAATAAACTAAAAGATGTTATCAATTTCCATATATAGAAGTTCACTCTTGGTTCTGTTTTGATCTTTACAATGTATTCTAAGTTCACACCTTCTCTCTGCTGTATACCTTTCAGCAGTGCTCCGTTTTGAGGACTGTAATTCTGTGTCAGTGGAAGTAAGCCACCATCAGGCCGTCCCCTCAGCCCCTGGCCTCTGGATGGTTTACCCAGGAGATGAGGTGGCTTTCCAGAGGATGAGGGGACACAGCTGTTCCCCAGGACCTTAGATGAGGCAATCTTTTTTAAGTTTATTTATTTATTCTGAGAGAGACAGAGACAGCGGGAGTGGGGAAAGGGCAGAGAACGAGGAAGACAGAGACTCCCAAGCAGGCTCCGTGCTGCTAGTGCAGAGCCCGATGCAGGGCTTGAATCTATGCAACCGTGAGATCATGCCCTGAGCCAAAATCGAGAGTTGGACGCTCAACCAACGGAGCCACCGAGGCGCCCCAGATGAGGCAATCTTTGAGATCAAAGCTAAGCCTTGAAGCCGAGGCAACGCTGATCCACCCCACTCCCACTCCACCTACCAATCCATTTCTGCTCCCCCTCCCCCACACACACACATCTCACCTCACCCCCCTTTTGGACCTGTCTGCTATTCAGGGAGCTTGCCATGCTGCCTCTCCCTGGCACATTACTCCTGCTCATCTATCAAAAGTGGGCTCAGCACAACCAGAATCCCCCGCCCCTGACTGGGCTATCAGCCTCTCATGTGCATTTGCAGCTCATATTGTCACTGTGCCTGTCACTTGAACGCCTTCCCATTGCTCTGGTGGGGCAAGGACTCTGTCTCATGCTTGCAGTGCCCCAGCACCCTGGACAGTGGCTAGCCTGGTGTAGGGGGCAGGACACCTGTGTGAAGGACTGCCCTGCTCCCTGGCATGCAATCTGCAAAGTGATCACAAGGTGGCGCCCGCCACACACCATACGCTGCTCCTGACTTGCCCAGGCTGTGCTAGTTCTACCAGGGACACCTGCCTGGCCTAGGGCAGGGCCCTTGGAACTGCCCTCCTGTCTCTGCAGATGCCTGAGGAGCCGAAGAGCACTGCCTTACATCCTGAGGACTCCACCCTCAAGCCCGCGGAACCTTAAACTCCCAGGGCAGGTGAGAAGCAGGTGAGAGCATGGGCAGGGTCTCCCGGTGGGTGCCCAGCTCTGGGAACTGGGTGACACCAGCAAAGGGGCAAAAAGAGAGCATCAAGAAATGCGGATGTGAGCTTCCACCCCTCCTGCCTGGATTGGAGCAGGCATGTGAGGGGTGGTGGCACTCAGACTCCTTGCAAGCTGGACAGGCACGGAGATATATGGAAGGCACTCTGAACTGGAAGGAATATATAGAAGGTGACCTGGGTGCACACTTGGCTTTGCTGCTTACTGGCTGTGACTTTGAGGATCTCTTCACCCAGAGCCAGAGCCTCAATTTCCTCACTTATAAAAGCAGGACTGACAGGCCTGGCTCTATTCAGTCGACCACCTCGGGCTAGTTGTACCTTCCTTCTCTGTCTCCTCTCTTCTTCCCATCAGCTCACAGTCTCCTTGCCCCCGTGTGGAATGCACCAAGCCCTTCCTCGTGCCTTTTGCATCTAACCCTCCACAGAGAGCTCTACCCGACAGGTGCAACTACTTCCCTCTTTTCCAATAAATGAGAAAATTAAGGCTCAGAAAAGTTCAGGTTCTCCAAGGCCACAGAGTGCAAGTGGAGAAACTGGGGTCTTAGCAAGTCATTACCCCTGTGCTCATTAGCGCTCTTGGATCCCCTTGGAGCCCAGAGCTTGGAAAGAGCTGCGTCTGGGGCACAAGGCTGAGTGATGTGACCACTTGCCTCTAATGCCCACCCTGTCCGGAAAAGGCAAAGGTGCCCAAGGGGCTACGGCAGGACCCCACAGTGGCCCGCTGCTCTTGGCTCTCTCCCTGCAGGCTCCACAGACTGCCCCGGCCCTCCCAAAAGAGCGGTGCTGACCAAGCTGAGAACACAGGAGCAAGGCAAGCAGCACCCCACCTGCTGGCCCGGCCCAGGGCGCCCTCCACTTCTTTCTCCTTCATCCCAGGAGGCCTGCCTGAGCATGGAGACGGGAGAGCTATAGACAAAGTGGGCATCCAAGCCAGGTTCTGGCTGCAGGAGGCCTGCCTCCACGGGGTCTTGGTGAGAACAGCAGGCAGGAGTGGGGCCGGCAGCCGGGAGTGGGCGCGAGCCATCCTAGGAGACAACTTAGCCGCCAGCCCCGCTTCTGGGGTCTTCCGCTCCCTGCCTGCCCCTCCACCAGCACCTCCCTTGCTCCCTGGGCCCCCCAGACCTCTCTGTGCCATGCAGATGGCAGCCTCCGTGAATAAATGTTCCTGGTGTTCTTTGTAGAATGGGTGTGAATGCTCCAAACGGGGCCAGTTTGAAGGACAAAAGGACCCCAAAGACCTGGCCTCCCGCCCCTGTCCTGACCCTCCATACCAAGCTGCCACCCACAATGCAAGGGAAATCATCCTGGGCTGAAGAGGAAGAATCCGGGGTGCTGGAGGCTGCTCCCGCTTGGGGCCCCCTGCCAGGCTCAGCTTTGGGGCTGGGGTCTTTCCCCAAGGCCCGTCCTTAGCTTACATCAACCACCCCAGAAACTCACCGACCATGAAAACTGCCATGCCCACCGTGTGACCCTGCTCCGTTTCAAGGGCACTCAGGCAGGTGGGAGAATAAGGGAGGAGGGCTCCTTCGGGCCAATCCCCCTACCCCAACCCTCTCCTCTTGCTCCCTGCCAAGCCAGCCTGGATCTCACCACTTCTTGTGGCCAGCCACCACCCTGGGCTGAGTAACACACACTTCCCCCACCCTTCGGGGCCTCACAGTCTAGCTGAGGACCGACCTGACACCCGGGATCCACCCTGAACTCTTGGCAGCCATTCCATGGCCAGGTGGCTTCCCAGAGCGGGTGACCTGAGCAGGGTTTTGGAGGCTGAATAGGAGTTTACCGGAAGGATGGCACGGGGACAGCCTGGGCAGACACCCAGAGATCAACATAGCGAGGTTTGGTGTGGCTAAAAGAGGTGTGAGGCAAAAGCGTGCCAGCTGGAGAGTAAGCAGCAGAATCCAGATCCTTTGTGGAGCAAAGACTCCAGGGAGGAAGGGGTGAGGGGAGAGGGAGGAGAAGGTCTCTCCTGCCTCCAAATCCGCCCTCCCCGCCCCCCTCACAATTCACACATACGTACACACTCAGGCCTTCATTCTCCGTGCCAGAGGAGGTGGGGGGGGGGG